AACACAGCTTCCAAATTTGAAATCAGGTCACATACATGGTGGTCCATCCTTGAACCGATATAGAGCTTGTTACGGTTGTGGAACTTCTGAAGCACTAATTAATTAATTTAACACGTCCTGAATTGTAAAGTAAGAACACTGTGGTTGATGCGGTGCTTGCCATCCTCCGCGGTAGGCTTGACCAATATAGTGCGGTATCTGAATTTTGTGGTTATCGCAACAACCTTAGTTGGTTGGACAAAATAAGCAAAGTGCATAAATCTACTTGGAACATTTTACACTATTTTTGGATATGTAATAGACCAATTGATTGATCAGTAAATCATATAAACGTCAATATTTTTTAAGTAATACTTGTTTTTAATTAGCAATTCCAAATTAAGTGGAATTTTACAACAGTTTAAGATAATATGATCATATTATGATGATACAATATCACTGAATGTTAAATAACTGATAATATTTAATTATTGCCCAGCCCTGACTCATTCTGTTGTTGAAACAGGCCAGTTGCTGTCAGCTACTATTCATCACATTGATTAGAAAAGCTATTATTCTGCCACATGTATTCAAAATATATGTTCAACAAACTGCTAAGTTGCTGACAACGAATGATAAGCTGGTGGATGTTAGCTTGTTGGTTCTAAAGTGTGTTTGGTTCTGTGTCTGTGCATGTGAGAGAAATAGTGAGTAGAGTGAACATGTCTACAATGTGATTTTGGTGTCACACTGTATGTAGGTTATGTATGTGTGAAAGTATGTGATTGTAGACAGAGAGAAGAACAGGTGGGCAGGTCGAGCTGAGACTAGAGAATTTCATAATTTCTTCAATGTTACAAAATATTCCGCTGAAGCAGCTAAAAGCGAAGAGGACTTCTCCCTGTTCTCATGTGCGCCGTTGACACTGACATACACTGTATTACTATTTCTACTACTGTGTCATGTCAGCCTTCCCTGCATGCACTCAAATGCTTTATGTTAATACCCATGGTCAACTACGGGCAATGCTAAATGCATTATTCATCTTTGTGAAGGGAGGGTGTGGGTGTACCAGGGTAACAGTGTTTGTGGGGAGGGGGCTGGAGGTGATAGAGCACTGATTTAGCCATTGGTTCCCTCTAATTGCCTATGTTAGGCAAGAAGCTAACCAAGCATCCTATGGTCCAGTGGTTTGATGTATGTGTGCATATGTGTTGTTGCGTCTATGCATGGGCAGGAATGTATGTGTGTGAAGAAAGGAGGGTTGTTTTCTACTTCGCAGTCATCAGTAAAATCTTAAAAGCTGTTGCTGCAGCAGAGTCTTTGTGTGTGTCGTCTCGTTGGGCCTCAGGTGCAGAAGAGGCTTGTTAAGTGTTGTTTTAATTAGAGATAACATGACTGGATCGAAAGAAATGAGGCTTAAATAGAAAGGTGGAGGATTAATACTTATAAACTTAAAATAGACCCAAGATGGTTCGGATTGGCGACCACACGTCCTCCAATCTAGGGCTCAACACCGTGTGCTAAGCCCCCTCCCGCTATCACTGTACACCCACGACTGCAACCCCAGACATGGAAAGAACTCTGTTGTGAAGTTCGTGGACAGCATCATTGGCTGGATGGATCCAGTCAGTCCAAAGGATATTAAAAGACAGTACCCACCCCAGCCACAGCCTGTTCACCCTTCTTCCATCTGGAACAAGAGACAGAAATATCTGCTGTCGAACCACCAGACTGCAGAGCAGCTTTCCCCCCAGGCTGTGAGACTCTTAAATTCAAATTCATCCTCAGCACTTCACCATGCAAGATATTTTTTTTTCATCATCTCAGAATTTGTATCTATTGTTTACTTTTTGTAGTATAAAGGGAACCACAAACTACGTCTCATTTTACCTTCCTGTTGTAATATGATGAATAAATTTACCTTGCACCTTAAGATGAGGAAACCGAAGAAAACTGGGCAAAGGAGTGCAATTATGTTTTTATTAGTTGTTATTCACCAAAATGCATCACGTGTATCCTTGAGGCCTGAAAAATGCAGTGAAAACATTTTCTTCCACATACAGCATTTGAAAATGTTTCTTTGCCGTCAACTGTTGATCTGAAAAATAGCATGAAAACTGCGGCAGGACTGTTGATTTCATTACATGTGTACACAAAACATTGCACCATAGTTGGAAAATTGAAATTAAATTGATTTAAATTGCTGAGTATATGTTCAGGTTTCTACAAAGCTTAACCTCTAGCTTTTGCTAGCGTTTGCCTTGCAGGCAACAGAATTTTATGCTCTGTCACTGGACATTTCTCCTGGGAGTGGTAGATGACTTCTCTTTTTATGTTTTTCATGTACACAGGAAACAGAGAACCCCATATTTATATATCATCTTGCTCTTCGATTGTATTGAGGATTCAACTGGGAGAGTTTCTTGCCCATCCAATCCTTGGAAGTGCTCTAAATGTCAGTCATCTAACAGTGTCTTTGTTTAAGTGGGATTAATGGTTTGAGTGGGATTTTTATTTCTGACAACCATGGACAACCAGAATATACTGGTTATATAGAATCCTACTTGTTTTTGAGCAGCATTGTGGGAGGAGTCACTGATTCTTTAAGTATTTTGCACCCAACAATAATCTGTTGGTCAATTGCAGGACAAAAAAGTGCATCAAAATATAATTCAGCTGATGTCATTTTCATGTGGACTTCATGACTTTGTCTGACTTTGAGTGGACTTTTGATTGCAAAAATGTGTGTAGGCGTCCGACTGCACGGGCCGTGAAAGGCGCAGATGCTGGAATGTTACTGGTGCAGATCCCTGTGCTGTGCTTGTGTGCACACATGCATGTGTGTATTTATACGTGTGTTGCTTGTACGTATGTGCATACAGCCTTACTTCTCCCCATGTATGTGATTTAACTCTCCCTCATGTCCCATTCCAAGATAATTTATCACAAACCCGTGTCTCGCTCCCCGCATCTTGACATTGCTACAACCCAACTCCACTCTTCTCCTCCATTTCAACCTCCATCTCTGTCTCTCCTCCATTCCCAGGTCTGTAATTTATTACAAAGAGGCATGATCTGATTTACTGCGGACTTGATGAGAAAAACACAGAGAGGGGAGAGTGTGTGTGTGTGAGAGAGAAAGAAATGGGGACAGGTGGAGAGAGAGAGAGAAATAGTTAAGGATGAAGAGAAAAAAAAGGACACAGAGAGAGATGTGTGCATGTCCTTCATCCATCCTTCAGTCTTGGTGTGTGGGTTGAGGTAGCGCGGGAGATGGGGAGTGATAGAGTGGAGTGTGTGTGTTAGTGTGTGCATACTCGAGGGAGGTAAGTACTTGAAAGAAGAAAATAGTCCCCGCTTCTTGTCTCCTCTTCTCTCCATCCCCATCTCCTCTTGCCTCAGGCAGGGCTTCTCTCTCTGATCTGTGTGTCGTCTGCACTCTCTTTAGCTATCACATTGGGAATTGTGTTTGTGAGTAAATGCAGCGTATATTACAGATGATTGTGTTTGCTAAGTGGCTCAGCGTCACATCCAGGACTGTGTACAGTATGTCCCGGTATACAAGGGAGTGAGTGCATGTTTGTCTGTGTTTGAGTGTGTTTTGATTTTATTTATGGTGTGTGTGTCAGGAAGGTGGATACAGATTAATTTAATGGAGGTGAGCAGGGTTAAAACAAATAGCAGCATGTATGGAAGCAGTAACGTCGTTAGTATGTATTCATGTGTTTCTTGCAGGTGTGTTAGTAAAGACGTGTCATACTTAAGGCCAAGCATGACTTATTTTGGCACAATGCTTGTTCTGTGCAAAAATTTCAAAATATAGCTCATATGAGGCTTTCAACAGTCTGATATAGACAAAGAAAATATCCTTCTTTCCCCCCATTGCAACACTGGAAAAGGACACACTGTCCAGAGAAACAAAAGGAGGGAATTTTGCACTCAGAGATAAGGTGACCAGATTTCTGAAATGAAAACCAGTAACATTTTTGGTTTGGTGGTCTATATGTCATTAAAAAATATAATGTTATTATATATGAAATGAAAAAGGGGATGAATTTCGATTTTATAATCTGTCAAATATAACCCCATGAATTTAATCAAGTAATTTCAGTGCAGAAATAACCTTTCAGTCAATAAGTAGATGCTCTATTGCATGGGTTGTATTGTAATTTAAAGGTATTTCAACAGGTAAAAAGGACTGGATTGGTTGGTGAACAGCAAGTTAAATAATGTAGAGTCATGAGGATAATTGCAAAATAGATGTATTTATTTTATATATAACTCAGCAGTAAGTCATGTTAATTATGGGCTTCATTCTATATATATATAAACAAGGATATAAGACATACGCCTACCAAACATGTATTCTGTCTGCCACAAGCTTCTGTTATTAACTATAATGACATAAATGTCACACCTAGTTATACGCTATATACTGCAAACACTTATTTTGCCACCATTGTGATTATACCGTTAAAAGACATACCTTTGCTATTACCACGGACATAAAGTCTGCACATTATGTCTGTCTGATCCAGATAAAAGCAGCTGTAGACTGGGCGATACAGCTCCAGACGGGTGTCCCCGGAAATGCCGTTTTCATTTCATTAAAAACGGGGACGTCTGGTCACCGTATTCAAAGATCCCACTTGATTTGTCTAGCTTCTGAATGCATTTTTGTGCAGAACGAGGACTGTGGATTTTGTCCCCTATCACTTACATTGTATCAGGATGGGATCTCTGTGAGTACTGTTTAAAGACTTGAACACGCCTAATGGTGCTATCAGACCAAATGCAAATTTAATCCTCGCGACGCTTTCCTCACGTGAGTACATTCGCTGCAAGTGTTCACACACAACGCGAGAAGGCGATTAGAACCCACGAAAATTCGTTCCAGTTGGAAATCTTCAACTCGCCGGCACCGCCCCCTTCGCGCCGCCCGACAGGAAATCGCGGCTCCACGCGTCTTGCATTGACTTTGTATGTAAACTCACCGCCCTGAACGCTCGCTTCGCTTTTGGTCTGAAAGCACAGTAAGAGTCTACAGCCATGCTAGCAGCAATATTAGGCTGTACTTTGAACTGAATGCTAACATCAGCATGTTAACATGCTCACAAGGACTCGTTAAGCAGGTATAATGTTGACCATGTACACCAATTTAGTATAGCGTGTTAGCATGCTAACATTTGGTTATTAGTACAAAGTGCAGCTGAGGCTGATTAGTGTTTCAGTCATTAACCAAATGTTGGACAATTTAAATTCTGACATGATGATGGCGCTAGATGAAAAATTAAGGTATCATTAAAGTTAGTATGATTCATGCTGAGGGGAACATGAATGTCTTCATGGCAAGCCAATGGGTATTATTGTCTTTACACTTGTTAAAGCACTTTCTAACTTGTTTTGAAAAGTGCTCTTCAAATAAATATTATTATTATTATTATTATTATAAGCCATCCAATAGTTGAGATATTTCAGTCTGAACCAAGGTAGCAGACATTGCCATCCTAGTGTGGACCAATCCTTCAAGGGCAGGGTTTGTGTTTGTAGACTTTCCAGGATGTCAAGCATTGATTTACCAGCTTCACATTTTATGCTATCATTCTTTCTCCCCATCCCCTTATATTGCTTTATTTCTTCCCCCTCTGTCTCTCCCACCCTCTGTTCCCCCCCGCTCTTCTGTTCTTCTTCTCGACTCAGTATGGAGGATTAGTGGAAACAAAGAGAGATCCAGGAGCCGACTCTCACTGAAGACAGAGACAGGAGGAAAAACTGTTGTTCTCTCAGCAGGAAAATATACTAATGCTTCTCTAAAGACTATTGTCAGTCAAAGATTACTTTTCCATTTCCATGCTGAATAAATATAAACTGAAAGAATGGTTTACTGTCAGGAGATTAACTATTTAACAAAATTTACCACTGTGCATAATCTGATGGAGTCTGTGGATAGAAGATGGCAAACAAATTTACCCACAGACACACACATAATGATGCACGTAGGAGCATAAAATAGAATAATCGTATCAGTGGAACATAAAAACTAAACAAGTCATGATTACTTTGTCCCAAGTGTACCGGGCTCCAAAGGCCTGTCTCTTTGTCTCTATGTGGAGTTCACTAAGAATCCACATGTTGTCACAGATACAGACCTGTATGTTCTTCTTCATGCCCACAACATTCCCAGCCACTGTATAATTCAGGAGTCAAGACAATTTGGCCTGAATGTTGTGTGCCATACACCCAACTGCATTATGGGCCAAAAGACTGCAGAGAACGGGAATACGAGCTTTCAATTTGATTCTTCCTTTTATGTTCTGTTTGCATAAATATTTCTTGTTTGTGAGCATCAGAATTCCCTGTGCTATAAGAGAAGGGAATCCCAGTGACTATGCTGGTGGAATTGCATGTCAAATAAGTGATTGGAGGGTGAATGAATTATAGCCTGGAGACCTTTAATGAGGCCTCAGTGTGAGGAGAGGGTGGGTGAGGCTAGAGAAGGGGTGGTGGGCAGGTGAGAGCAGCTGCAGCTGAAGAAACCTCCGAACTCTCCCTCTCTTCTCTCCTTCATTCCTTTTCGCATCTTTATTTCTCATATGCACCTTTCCTTCCTGCTGCACTCCCCCTCCATGTTTTCTCCGTTGCACTTATCCTTTCACATCTCTCTTTCCTCAGCAATCCCCCATCCTCATTACGGACCCCTGACACTGCACATGCTCAGTCCTTTGTGTAGAGGTGCCCTTTTATTACAGGGTTAAATAGCAAAAATCCATAAATGGAGTGGAAGTCCATTTGATGACTGGTGCTTGTGTGTAGATGTGTACCTGGATGCGTAATTTTCTTCATTTTTTTTTTTTTTTTTACGTGTGCTTATGTTTGTATTAAGTCTGCTAGATTAGCCTGCGAGAAAGCAATGAAAAGCCTGCCACCTCAACACCAATCCGCTCTCTCTCTCACACACACACACACACACACACACACACACACACACACACACACACACACACACACACACACACACACATAAACATTAGTCCTGCCAATCTGTCCTTTTTTGTGCTCTTTTTCATCCCAGCGCCATGGCGGTGCTAAGCAACACAGATCGTGAGAGGAATTTTAGACCACACGGAAACTTGGTTTTTGTGTGTGTGTGCATGATTCTTTTTAGGAGATTGAACTGGGTTGCCTAGGCAGATGTCTTTTCCCAGAGCAACTCACAACAAAATGCTTTAAAGGAAAGATGAAGTTTGATGTGACTGACAGCCAGATGGACTCAATGCACTCACTGATTCTCAGTTGTTACCTCCTCAAGACCCACTTAATAAAGTTGAATAAGTCTTTTCAGAGCAACATTTTCCCAGCAGAAGCAGCATCAGTGCTTTTAGGTTTACATGCATGTGTGTGTGGGGGCTGGCTGACATTAAAGTGTAGAGAAAGCTAGAAAGGGATGCGATTATTATGTAAATGGCTGCTCTAGGTTGCTTATGAAAACTTGTAAGCTGAAAGTAAGAGCGTCTGTGGACCCACCTCCGAAATCCCCTCCAGGCCTGATTGACAGCTGGACGCAGGCTGTCAAACAGATGTTGCCGCGACGACAGAGCCAGAAAAACTCTCTCTTTCTGCCAGTATAGTGGAGGATGAGGAAAAAAGCAATGAGCTAAGAGAATGAGAGTAACAGACTCTGAATGAAGTACAAGATGAGCAAGAGATACAGGTGCTGTTCGCTTCGCCTCTGTTTAAGCCACACATCTGGTCTGCACACCTTTAGCTCCAGAGCTACGCAAATATGTCTGACATGAGATAGACCACTTGTGCCGACATAAATCTGTTACTTTTAACTCTTGACTCTTGACTGATAATTTATTACATTTATGAACATAATTACATCTATTTCTGTTTTCCCTGTTCATCCCATTTTTTCCTGTTAATTTCTTGTTAATGAAGTCCTCAGCTTTGTCTTCCCAACCGCCTCCCTCTGATCAGCATTTAGGTTGAAAGTTTGCCGCATTTATGTCCACAGAGAGATAGATCACATGCAAACAGCGCACGAGAGTACCTCTGTGTTTCTATTTCTGTCATTTTTTGTGTTTGTTTCCGAATCCGAGTGAAGCTTCAAAAAGATTGCTCACATTTATACATTTATATATAAGTGTGTACGCATGTTAACAGGAAGAGGAGGGACTGTATGCGTCTTACTACATTTGTGTGTGCATGTCAGTGTGGGGGATGGGGTCGAGGCTGAGTTTGCGTCTTTGTCTGTCAAATAAATTATTTAAATCCCCTAACAATTAAAGCTGAAATCTGTTATCAGCGTCCTCCATTAGTTGCCTGTGTGTCTGCTTTGCTGCCTCAGTATGCTCTTTGCTTGTTCTCCCCCGTCTGGGATCAGCGTGACGCCGAATAAAGATCACAAGCACTGAATCTTAAATACACATCCCAGCAGAACAAAGGCTAGTGACCCTGGGACTCGTGCACACCGAACATCGTCATCATTGTATAAATATTTTGATAGTGATTCTTTTTGGTGCAAAATGTTACTTGTGTCTGAGGTGATGTGCGTGTGTGTGACATTACATATACTATAGATGTCACAGAGGGTTTTCATGGCTGTGCATGATGGGATATTAGGGCCCTAAGGTCTGTATTCACACCTTGTGCCTCACTTTCACTGCCTCTTTCCTTTCCTCTGTCTCATTATTCCCCCCTTGATGGCCATTCTCTCCCTCTTTCATTTCACCTCACTCTCAACTCACTCTCCTCTTTCCCTGCATATTTTTTTATTGCTGTAGAAAAAATGGCCATTAGTCATCTTAAACAGCCTCCTGTTCATGCTGATGTCAGGGCCTTCATTCAAATGGAAAACTTTTACTTCCTGAAAGAAAGCTCAGTTTATATTTAAAAAACACACGATATGTCTGCCTTCAAAAGCAAAACTATTTCCTACCATCTGCCTTTTTATGACTCATTACAGTTACTGATTTTCCTTTGCTTTCAGCAGTCTGTCCCTTTGTCAAAGACATCAGTTTTTTTAAAATGGTGGATATAAGAAACTCTAATACTACCTAGAGGTGGTCCACTCCTGTTTCGAGTCTTTAAGATAAGCTAAGCTAACAGGTTGCTGGCGAAGAAGTTTGCTAGCTTAGCTTACCGAAGTGAGAGTGGTATCCAGTGCCCCTAGGAGACTACATCAAACATATTGTTTTGTCCAATACCCCAAAGATACGGTTTACAGTAATGTAAGCAGTACATTCTCACTATGAAGAGCCTGGAACCATGAAATGTTTGGCATCTTTGCTTGGAGAATAGGTTAAGTTATTGAAACACTATCAAAGTATTTGCAGATTACTTTTCTGTTGATAAACTAATTGATTAAACGTTTGTAGTACTGTCACTAATCAGTTCTGTGTTGAATGTGTTGCGTTTTGAATGGATTTAGTATTAGTTTTATGCATTTTGACTTACAAATACAGTTTTTATCTGTTTAGTAATCTTCAAATATTTTTTATTAATAATAAACTTTATTTTATTATAGAGCACTTATCAAAACAACGTTCAAGGTGCTTTACAGAGATGGAGAGAAAAATGAAATTAAATAACTAAAGTAAATGATAAAAATATGAGAAATAACAAGAAAATAAAAGACAAAAAAGCAGGATAAAAGAAGAAATAAAAAAAGAATAAAAATAATGAATAAGAAGACGGCTTGGATAAAATCAAGATATGCCTTCCGATAAAAGTGTGTTTTAGAAGTGACATTAAGGAAGGCATGACTCTGACAGACTAATTTCCTCAGGCAGGTTGTTCCAGATCCTTAGTGCCCTGACAGCAAATGCTCTGTCCCCTTTAGTTTTCAGCCTGGACTCAGGAAGAGGCAGGAGACCTGAGGCCTGAAGATCTTAAACTAAACAAATCTTATAAAAGATTATTAAAAGATCCAGAATATAATCTCTATCCAGGTTAATGAAGAGCCTTAAAAGTAATCACTAAGATCTTAAAATCAATCCTAAAACAATCAGGGATCCAATGTAAAGAGGCAAAAACAGGTGTGATGTGATTGTACCTCTTGGTTCTGGTGATAAGCCCAGCAGCTGAGTTCTGTAAAGTCTGTAGTAATTCTGAAGATCTATTATTATTTCTAAGGTGATAAAAACATGACTGCTACGCTTAGTGATGTGTTGCCTAAAACATATTACTATCAAATAAGACACCAAAATTTCTTGCAACAGGCTTGATATATTGTGACAGGGGACCGGGCAGCATTTGTTTCGTGATATGATGGGTCCAATAACAAGGATTTCTGTTTAGTTGGAATTTATATCAGCCAGGCAGTCCTGTAGGGAACTCTACTGAGGTCAGTGAGCTTAACAGGGAGGTACGACTGTGTGTCATGTGCAAAACAATGGAAAGAAATACCATTTCTACGGATCAGGTCACCCAAAGTGAGCATATTATGGATAACTGGTCCAAGAATTGACCCTTGAGGCACACCATGATTGATAAGACAATAAGATGACATAAAACTGTCAATTGATGCCCACCCAGTGCCTCAGTCTATCGAACAGAATGCCATGGTCATTTGTATCAAAGGCAGCACTCAAGTCCAGATTGAAACTTTTGCTATTGTTTTCCACAGCAGCAAGGAGCTGCTTAGAAACATTTTTTTTCTCAAGAATCTTTGAAATAAAAGGCAGTGTAGAGATTGGATGATGTTTGTCTCGGATGTTAGGATTAAGGCCAGGTTTTGTTTTAGGAATAGGTGGACGCAAGCAGTTTTAAATTAATCCGAGACACAACCAGTAGACAGCAAGCTGTTCAAATTTGATAGGAAATATGCACTAATACAATCCATGACTTCAAATAAAAACTTACTCTCATCTGAGACATAGTTTCTTTGAGATGAGGCACAATAATTGAAGATAAGTTTTATTTATTTTTTTTAATTAACCTTTATTTTAACAGGAAAGTCCCATTTAGACACAGTCTCTTTTACAAGGGAGTCGCTCCAGGAATCCCTGAGTGGGTGATCAGCATCTAAAAAGGCAGATCTTATTGACTCCACCTTTCCCGCAAAGTGTGATAAAAACCTTTCACAGTCAGTATCACGATCATCAGAGGCTCAGGGAGAGGCTGGGTATTATCTTTCGCCAATGTATAAATTTCCTGCTGTGCGGGAAAAACAAAATCTTCACAATTTCACCCACATTTTCCATCCGTCACTGTATGCTCAAACTGTTTATGTGACACAGGTGTTACATTTTGTATCAATTTCTGCATTCTGACACAACAGTATTGCCAGTGATTTAGTTTTTTGGAAAGTATTCCAAGGCCCCTTATTCAGCAAAACTAAACTCACTTTAATCAGATAAAAATCTTCTTGTTATGCTGATTGTACTGTACTGTACTGATTTTTCTAATGCTCTCTTCTGGTGCAGAATTGGCTGGGATATGTTCTTAACATTTGCATTGTGTGTGTATGTGTGTGTGTTTGTGTATACAATACAGATTACTGTTGGCTCTGGCACTGCTCAGTCAGTGTATATATAAAGAAATAAAAGCCCACTCCGACACTGCCTTGTGTTTATGTATGTGATCGTGTGTGCCTGTGAATGTGTGTGTATATGTGTGTCCATGTCCAGGTGATCTATTTGTGAGATAAGAGGCTAAAACTTTTACCTATATTATATTTTGAAATAGGCTGAAGAAGGTATGAATCCCCGTTCACATACCGCATTCCTCTTTGTGTTTGTGTGTGTGTGGCTTTGTGTGCACTATAGCTCATTCATCTCTGTCTCAGATTGGGCCTGCAGTGTGTATCTCCATTGGGATTCTTGGGTCCAGCTCTGCTGAGAAAGCACACACAGACTGATTTCCTGTTATTTATGCCACTCTTTGTCTTCCTTGCTCTCTCAATTTATTTCTTGCCTCTTTCCCATTCTGCCTGTGTGACTTTTTTTTTTACTCCTTACTGACCTTCAGGTGTCCTTCATTCTTTGGGCACACACACACACACACACACACACACACACACACACACACACACACACACACACACACACACACACACACACACGCGCCAGACATTTGCTAGAAGGCTGGATTTGAATAATTGTGTTTGTGAGAGTTTGTGTGCTGGAAATAGCCTCGTCCCCGTACGCTGGTCATAATTAGCCGGGCTGATGCTCTGAAGCCCTGTGCTGCCAAGACTGAATACAATCTACTTATAAAATACAAACACACTTGTATAACAGAGTGACACTTTAATGAAAATCACACATTTACAAACTTTAATTCTCTTTTGTCTTTCTTCTCTGTTCCCAGTGATCTGCTGTCTTCAGGGTACGTGGAAAGGCATTTGTCAGAAAAAGGGAGGACAGTCGTCAGCAATGTAAGATTCTGCAAATCATCTCTGCTCATGCGCACTCACACTTTCACTATGAGACTATTTGTAGTTAGAATGGAAGCTACAGTGTTTTCATGGTGCTTCTGGTCTTGACACTAAGACCCCATTCACCCCTGGTGTTACCATGCAACTGGTTGTCAATACAGGGTGTAAATGTATGCAGAACATACTCCACTCAAAATGTTAAATATTTTTATATCAGCAATGGATAAAATGTGTAATATGAAATATCACTCGAAATGACTAACCCATAGAGAATTATCATCGGTGAACTTAGTGGAGCATTTAGCAGCTACACGAATTAGTGTTACTTAATTTCTTTTTTAAGATGTTTAATTTGTTGAGAAAAAAGGACTGAAAAAAGCTTTTACTTAATTTTACTCATATTTGTTGACAAAGATTTTATCATAATTGTTTTGAATGTTCTACCTCAGATTTGTGAAGTGATCCACTGCGTGGCCTCAAGTGTTGACCATAAAGAAAAGGTTAAACCACAATCGGGTTTCTTTAACTTTCACTCAGCAAAAATCTCTCGAAACTCGAAATAAATAACGATTCAATAGTTATCGTGATAATTATTGATATTGAAAGATGAAAGTTTTTATCGTGATAACATTTTTGGCTGTATCGTCCAGCTATAAGCAGATAATATATGAATGTTGTGTTTACTGCTTCTTGTGTACGAAAGTGGACAAAATAAATCTATTAATTCAGATTTAACATCTCAAGCAGGCCTAACAAGAAGCTACAGACAACCATGTTAGCTTTTTAGAAAGCTAAAATAAGTAGGGCCCAAATAGCAGAATCATACAGCCATTCAGTTTTGTTCATCTTAGATTTCGGACGACCAAAGTGGAACTGAAGCTGTGGTTTAAACCATCAACTAACATGAAATTAAGATTGCTGTGATAATCCTCTGAAATCCGGACTTACTTAGTTACAGGACACACACTGAGGCGTCATCTCATAAGTGTGTGTGTGTGTGTGTGTGTGTGTGTAGGGGGGGGTTGGGTTATAATGGTCAGGATTTACTCAGCTAAGCAGCAGATTAGTGAGTTATTAGATACTTTACGGAGAATGATCCAAATTACTACACCACATATTGTGTGATATAGTCACTTGGTAATTATGGAACGTATTATAAAGCAATCTTTCTGTGAATTACTTTATCTTGAAAATGAATATCCATAATGTACTCTGTCTATTCTATTGTTATGCTTTCCTTTTTAAATAGTGGAAAGAATAATAATATATTGCCTCTTTATTAACAGCTGCCGTTCAGGAAGGTTAATTTGAGACGAGCTCCTGTTTGTTACTCTGCTCACAGAGGTCAAAATGTCATCGTAACACAGCTGCTGCTGTCATAGGTCTAACTCAGAATCCCCTTTGTTCATAATAATATTACAAGGAGTACTGTCTAGATCTGCTCTATATGAAAAGTGTGAAGAGTTAATGTAGTACATAGGTAATAGAGGGAGTACATACTGTTAATTGTGGTAGCAGTTCTAACTTTTTGTCCACATTTAGTTTATTGCAATGAATGTAGGACAAATCCCAAATCCTTGTTTAGCACAAAACATATTCCACTGTTCAGCTAAAGCAAACATGATGCTACAGCTGTCTATAATAAAGTAATTATTGTAAAATTTATTTTTATTGCTACGATAATCCGGAATCAACAAATGAGGAACACGAGAGGATATATGAAACGCACCAGATTTGGAGACAACGTTTTGAACTTTTTAACAATTCCTTGCTTTGTTAGACTTGGCTTTTGTGTGCTGAACAAAAATTGTGAAAACTTTCCTTCATCAGTTGTATAGATTTGTAGAAGGAGAGTTGGAGCTCTGCACAGTAAGAATAAAATACTCACCTACCTACTTACTGTTAGGGGTGGGAGGCATGGATACAATCCTATCACAGTGTATGTAATTTTTATATTGCCACATCAATATAAGTTTTCCAGAATATGTTACATGATATCTATCATGATATACACATGTACATATTCTGGCAAATCAATTGAAACTCTGTTTTATAAAATAACCATTCAGGAATGTCTGATTCATCTAATGAGATACCTGAGAAATCATCACACTGACACACCAGTTTTGTTTATTATTTATTTGCAGGGAACCATGCACTTAATCAGAACAGATATTTAAGTATGTCAAAGTTAATGTGCTTGGGTTAGCATAACTGCTAATGTGCACCTGTAGCCCCAACAATACTAAAAACTGAAAACAGATGAAAAACATTATACATACAGTTGCAATTAAAATATACATATAATGAAATTAAACACAAAATTTGTTTAACAATATCAAACAACAAATCAAAGCAAGTATAAAACAGTACGTACGAGTTAGAATCAATCTATAATAACACCATTTAAAACATTCCATAATGGATGAATTATATCTTTGAATGATATGAGCATGGTGATAATAATTGGGTTTGTTATAGAGTACTTTTAAGTGTTTCCTAATCGAAGTGAGTCTGTTGGCCATAATATGGAAACTCCCTTCATATAAAAATCCAGTGTTGCCATAAAGCAGCCCAGCTAGTTAATCTTTAGCACTACTCACAATGGCCTGATACACCTGGAGATGTTACGAAAGTACATCAGCTGTAAGTGGGGATAGATTGAAGTAATTAAAGTGGTACATCAAGTGTTAATACTGTACATGCACAAATTAACTCCACAGACACACACTTTCTGTCCCATGGATAAGTAAAATATTATATATATTTGCGTAATTTACTTATTCCTGTTCATTATCTAATTCCGTGCTCAAACTTTCACTGACATTCAGAGGGCAGAGTGTTCTAATTGTTTACCAACTGTCTGACCCTTTTCATTGTGCATTGTGATGTCCAGATTAGATTAATTACTCTTACATGGGTCTAAGGAGATCACAGATCAGACCAATTTAGCAACACACACACGCGCACACACACACACACACACACACACACACACACACACACACACACACACACACACACACACACATCCTCACTCACTCTGAAGATGTACCCACAGTGCTGGGTTTTGGGTGTTTCTTGCTTTCATGAGAAGTGGAGCAGAAGGTTCAGGGTGACAGGGGAAGAAGAGACGCTGGGATAGTAGAGCACCGCTTATAAATAGCCCTCTCTTGTCTTTTCATTTCACTCTCGCTCTACGTCTCTTTACCCAGCCTCTCTCTCTTCATCTGTAGCTCTCTTTAGGTTTATCTACTTCACTTGTACAACTTCTTCTGTGGCACCCCATTCACATGTTTCGTCTCAGAGCTTGAGAGAGTCAGTGCTGTGAAAATGTAGCAAAAGGTCCCCGTTTTAAAACGAAAACCTAGTAGTGGGGATGTGGCCTTACCGTGATACATGCCCCTAGCCGCAAGCTCGTAGCTTGTTTCCTCTATCCTGTAAGAATCAGACTCAGAAATGATAGCTAAGAGTGAGTAATTGGGACTGAGAGAGAGAAACAACCATAAAACTCAAGAACAACAACAAAGAAAACAAATCAAACTCAGCATGACTGACTCGATTTCAAGAGTCAGTATGTATGAAGATTCATCACACACAAATTTGTATTACTGTAGATTTATGAGGACCCCTTTTTACTGCATAAATCTTCTAAATCCTAACTGTTTGTAACTCCAATTTCTGTAAAATAGATAATTATGTAAATTAGCGCTATCAAAATTATGTGGCCATGCTTGTTTGAACTCAGCCCCTTAGTTCCATTAAAGAGGAAATTTTAGGAGTATTTCTGCATTTTGGGAAATACATGTATTCACTTTCTTGCTGAGAGTAAATATAAAGCCATGGACCAACACCTTTAAAGCTCACTAATTAGCACATCATATCTCCTTTGTATAATCCATACAGACAATAAAGTCTAAAAACAACACAACAGAGTCCCTTTCTGGTGTTCATCTCTTGGTGACCACTAGATTTTAGAGCTGCTCGTAGATGCATTTTGTTAACAGACATGAGAGTTGTATCCATTTTCTCATCTAACTGAAAGTCAGTAAGCGTACTTCCCAAAATGTCTACTAATTCCTGTAAGAAAAATCATCATACAATGATATTTGGACACTGTGTGCTTCCAACTTCGTGGCAACAGTTTGGGGAAGGCCCTTTCCTGTTACAGCATGACTATATTCAGGCGAAAATGCCAGGTCTTTTAGAGTGGAAGAATTTGGATGGCCTGCACAGAGCCCTGACTCCAGACCCATCCAATGCTGCTGAGCTGAACTGGAAGGGGTGCTCATGTAGTTTAATGAGAACAACAAACACATGCATGCATCCTCACACAAACCCATACGACAGGCGTGGATTTGGATGAAGTCCACAGAGACAGAGCTGGAGGTAGAAGACGACGAAGCAGTGCGTTGCTCAGCATCAGATTGTAGAGGCGAAATTGATCCTTTGATAAAAGCTGCGTTTCCTCAGGGAGACCGGCTTCCTGCCTAATGGCTGTTAGGCAGCAAGAAATGGACCAGGAAGTTATGGCCTGCAGAGCACTTAGACACTTAGACATCATACACGTCTATAGAAAATAAATGTGTGTTTACGCTCCCAGAGAGGGAGGGGGGCGCACACTGCACACGCATATAGACAGATGGAGATAAAGAGTATGAGTGGTTGGTGGCGAGCCGTGACAGAGATGGAAAAAACTTTACGAGTCACCAAAGCTGTTGCCTCCTATTGTGGGTAGAAGTTGGGATGGAGGAAAGAGATGTCACAGAGCAGCTTACACCCAGATTGCAGGATGTGAATGGGTTAAGCTCGAAGTGCAAAGTAACACATAGTACATGTACATGCACATATCTACACCAGATCGCACTTTTGTGCGTTAGCAAATGAATTCTGTGTGATCGATTGCTCTGAACTCATTTCCTGATGGAATATGGTAATAAAAAAAAATTCACTCTCTGTTTGAGTGTATGAGACATTTTAGCAGGTAACCATGTGTATGATCTTAATCTGTGTGTGTCTTGCTCACAGGGAGGAGAGCACTGCTACTATCAGGGGAAGGTCAGAGACATTCCTCTCTCCTTTGTGGCTCTCTCGACCTGTCATGGATTGCAGTAAGTACAAATTTTATGTGTGTGTGTGTGTGACTTTATTTTGTTATTATTTATTCTTTAGTCTGTGTGTCCAGGTGCTGTTCCTTGCTCTCATGTATCCATTAGGTCAATGTGATTAGTTTTAGCCAGGCCTTCTTTGTCTCTGCATTTTTCGTCAGACAGATTATCATTCACACAGACAGGTGCTGCTCAGATGTCTTCTCTTCCTGGCGTTGGTATTTTTAGAGTTTGTGCTCTAAAGCAGCGCTCTGTTGAAGAGAGATGGGTCAGAAACAAAGCCTGCTGGGAGGAATGCATGTACACTGTATATGCGTCTTATGATTTAGTGTGTGTGTGTGCTAATATACTGTATGTAGGAAGAGAAGCAAGAGATCAGTTGTGGACATCCTGCATGTTAAAAATGTATAATGTGGTATTGAATGTCCCCACGACCCTGTACGCAGGATAAGCAGTTGACGATAGATGGATGGATGGATGGATGGTATTGAATGTCATTGTGTACAGCTGCATAAAAAGGCACCTGGGAATAATTAGAACACGCGCATATATTACAGTTTTTCACAGTTGTTTACACACATTTCCTTAAAGGAAACAGTATTTTCCTGAAATTGTGAACATAAGACATAAACACCCACACTGCTTTTTAACACACTAAACAGTATATTTTGCACTTGCTGTTTTTACATTAATTATTTAGGTGTCTTAAAAAGTAGTTGCCAAAGAAATAAAGCATTTATAGCAATCTGACAGAAAACAAGAAAAAGCCCGTTGTCAGCCTGATCTGCTGCTCATTCATCAACAGTAATCCTTATATTCATGGTGTGATTCATCATGTTTGTTACTGTCTGGACCCCGAGGACTGTGCGTTAATTTATGTTTAGTTGTGATGACTGAATATTTTTAAATTGAATAACAGGGATTTCTCTAAGAAAACACAAAGCGTGTGGTAGGTAGAACCGCCTAGACTTTTTATTAAATGTAAATTTAGGTTTGGGGTGTGATGACGGAAAGATCTAAGCTTTATGAAGTCTTTTAGTAGAGAGTATATAACAACATTCACATCTACACATTGTTGACAGTATACGCTATTTCATCTAATTATCCCTTTCAGGTGTTTCTGAAAGCATTATTATTCACTCTCACTCCATTGTGCCTCATCAAAGCTAGATTCAATCCAAATATAATGTCAGGCTGAAAAAAGCAAATAATCTGTGCAGATAAATAAATTCTGCTAATTAAAGTAACCAGACTGATACTTGCTGAATAAGCTAGCTTTAATTACGTTTTGTATATTTCATGTGATTGTGGCAACGTGTTTGGCAGCACAGCAAATAATGTAACGGCACACACAAAATAATGAAAAGTAGGTCATGAATTAGTCAAACCCAAAGAAAGTAAATATATTTGATTTCAATCTCATGTGTTGGGGTTTTCATTCCAATTGATATTCCCATACTGTGTGTGTGTGTGTGTGTGTGGGTGTGTGTATGGGTGTGAGTGTATGTGGGTGTGTGGGTGTGGGAGAGGAGTTGAGAGACAGAGTGAGAGGGAAAGAGTTAGAGGACTGCATGGTGGTGTCGGGAGGTTAGACATTAGAGGGAGAGTATTTCCCTTATGCTTAGTCAGGTATTTACCATAATATACATCCTGCTCTCTCCTCTTTCTCTCTCTCTTTCTCCATCTACACAAGCACACACACACACACACACACTCTCACATCACACAGAGAGAAACTTTACCCTGCAATGTATTACCTTTATAGAGGGATAGTGATCTCAGCTTCATCCATCACATGAGATTTAGACAGTTAAGCAGAGTTCCTGTTTTAGCAAATTCTCACACTGATTAAGAAATTATCAGCCTGAACACTTTGCATTCTCATTTCCCAGAAACCCGAATGTTCAAAAGCTGAGCCCTTTAAAATCTGCTTTTAATTCAGAACAACAGTGTGCTTCATCTAAGCAACTTTGGTTGTTGCCACCAGTGCAAACACTATATGATGTAGCTTTAAAGCCCGTCGCTAACTCTAGTTGCTAAACTAATTTTTTTTGCTGTTTGGTACTGAGCAGTTAGAGGCTCATAGAAATAGATGAGTTCAAATTTTTTAACTAACGAGCTAAGTTTTAGCATTTGTTCTGAAAAGACCTTTAGTATCGTTCACGAAGGGTTTGTCATTCAAAGGAAATTAATGGGGTAGTTTGATCAGATTTGATTGACAATGACCTGGCAATTTCTGTGATCACCTTTAGATCCAAAAATTCTGATTGGTGCACAGATGAACGTGACATTACTTTTTTCCAACTGAGCCTTGCCTACTTCAAATCATTGAGAAAGGCGCAGACACAAGTTTCTCATGTGAAATTACCAGAAATTGTTCTAACTTTGGCAGAAAATTGTGTGTTCATGTAGGATCCCAATGCTGATAGTAAGAAGCTGATTGAGAAAATAGGCACCTTTAAAAAAGAAAACAGTGGAAGAATTGTGAATTTTTCCTTGTTGTCTCAAAGCAGAATGACTAGTGTTTGGTTTGGGTTGCAAAAACTATTAAAATCAACATCAAACATTTGTTTTGTGAACTGCAATAAGGACTACATGTTACATTCCGCTCCATACTGATGTAATAAAATACAGGGATAATAAGACACTAAATAGAACGCAAATAGAACAAAATGACTCAAAGCAATCTACACTTTGACCTGTGTTTTCTTTCTTTTTTTTCATATGTGTAATCTGCTGTAAGTGCAATGTTGGACCAGGGTGACCAGTGTGTTGAAGGTGAATTCTGTATATTGAAGGCCAGAAAGAACAGGCAGATGTGTGTGTTTGCCTGCAGTGTTTACCCTCCTGACTTCACAGTTTGGCCCGACCAATCTCCTAAAAGCTTCAGATAAAGTTAATTAACGGATGATTCTTTTTTTGTACACATGCGCACATACGGGCAGGGCGGAGACAAGGAGACCTTTACCCAGCTGCTAAATGAGAAATTGATCTCTGACTTTTTAAAATGATTGCTTGGACAAACTTGTGTGTGTGTGTGTGTGTGTGTGTGTGTGTGTGTGTGTGGCCTCTCCCTCACATACCTTTATATGGCAAATGTATTTAGAGTTTTTAAGTACACAGTGAGTGAAAGTGTTTATGACGTCACTACATCTTTCAATGAATATCAGGAGGATCATCAGGATTTACACCGATTTTCTGCTAAAATGCTTTCGAAGATGTCTTAGTCATTGCAACGTGTGGTCAACCAGTTCAAACTCTTTCTCATTTTTCCAGAAATAAAATCCTTAGGTGACCTTTAAGTTATGCTGTGTGGGGGGAATCTCTCAGATCACTGCATGACCTTTTGTTTCACATTATCCTCCACCCCTCCTAAGCTGTAGATATGCCAAATACAGCAGTCAGGACAGAAACAAGAGGGACCTTGTAGTAGTGCATTACAGTTATTATTTTGACAAATGCTCTAATAATACAATAACCCCCCTCAGGCAAGCGCTGAAATAGCTAATGTATCATACTGATAGCTGAGGAGGAGTTGAATTCAGATGCATTATTCCTTTTAGTGTTGAATAAAACAACAGAAACTGTCGTTGATATGTGCTCTCCGCTCTCCTCTCTTTCTTCTTCAGTGGGATGTTTTTCGATGGCAATCACACCTACATGATCGAACCTGGAGGACAAGGCAGCAGCGATGTAAGTACTCCACACGAAAATGTATGTATGTACTTTGTAGGAGCCGGTGGTGGCTTCTCTTAGAGGGGTTAGTCAATGTTCTCTTCTTTGATTATTGATTACTCAAGAAAATAGTCAACAGATATATATTGATAATGAAAATGATTGTTAGTTGCAGCCCTGTATGAAAGTGGATACTGTTACATAATTTTGATACAATATATAGTTATTCCTGGGTTTTCTGATGGCTTAGTGGTTAGGGCACATATAACCGTGACGTTGACCTTCCACATCCAGCCGAGAACCCGTGTTGCATTTCATACCACTCTCCTTTTTAACAAAGTAAAAAAATATTATCCTTGAAGTGGGCGACACGGTAATGCAGTGGTTAGCATGATTGTCGCCTCACAGCAAAAAGGTCGTGGGTTCAAACTCCGGTTGCCCCGGCCTTTCTGTGTGGAATTTGCATGTTCTCCCTGTGTCTGCGTGAGTTCTCTCCGGGTGCTCCGGCTTCCTCCCACCGTCCAAAGACATGCGGTCTAGGTTGATTGGTGACCCTAATTGTGTACCCCGCCTTTCGCCCGATGTCAGCTGGGATTGGCTCCAGCCCCCTGCGACCCTGTACGCAGGATAAGCGGTTGACGATGGACGGTGTCAAATTTGAGGCTTGGTTAGGCTGATTTTTCAGTAGGTTTGGTCAATTATGCATCCGTACTACTACTTAATTCACAAGCTACCCAGCGGTATATTAAGTAATTTTAATGAGCCCCACCTTTAGCAGCTGCATCATTAATTATTGCATCAATAATTATAATCCAATAATATAATAAACATTATTCTGAAATGGGCCATTCTGCATAATGAATACTTTTACTTTTGGTACTTTAAGTACATTCTACACTTCTACACTTTTGTACTTTTACTTCAATAATAATTTGATTGCCAATTTGTTACAGCCCTCTGGAAGCTAATTTGTTATGTGATTTGTGTATTTGTTTTCCTTCTAAACATAAATTATTGAAGATTTTTCTTACACAATGAAACGTGTTGCTTTAAATTCGAAGTAGGCATATCATTCTCAAACAACAATAATATTTCTCAGTTTCAACATCTGATTTTTGTGCTATTTTCAGTTAAAGATGGGGTTTAAATGTTTTGCACATGATCACATTTTATTTATATTTATATTTAACACAACTTTTGTGAAAACAGGGTTGTGTATATATATATATATATATATATATATATATATATTTGGTTTTACCAAATCATGATTGCTACTGTTTCAAATATCCTGAGTTACTCCACACTCTGTCTGCAGTGAACTGCAAAAATACCCTGGCTGGAAATCAATGTGCTACAGGACTGTGTGTGCAGCAGATGATGATGTGGTATTAGAGGATTCATACACAGGTCAGTTATTGTCCTGAGAGGAGGTTGAGACAAAGCCAGAATCAGTTTCAGATCACACAGCAGTCGTCGCTACTTATGAACCCTGAGAACGACGCAGAGGTGTCAGGACAGAGATATTTGCTGGGTCACAAAGCCTGCAGACAGTAGAAAAGCCCTTGGCCAATTAGATAATAACAATTACAGGCATTATGGTCGGTACGAAAGGACAGATCTGAGATTGAAAAAAAAAAAAGCGCCTTGAGCTTTTAGTGAAAGAACAAGCCACTGATACCCTGCGTGTGTGTCCTTTTTGCTCTAATTAAAATGTCCAGAAGAAGTGTGTGTCTGGTGTACCCAGAAAGGAGATAAGAGACGTCAGGGATTTGTGTCTGTTTGTGTCCATATGTGTGTATGTGTCTTCTTGTGTGGAAGTATGTATGTACTCTAATAGGTGTTGGTAGTGGCGGCCTGACACACAGAGCTAATTAAGATTCATCCCCATATGACAGCTTTAGAGGTGTTGAAAGGTCAGATGGGAGAGGAACTAAATTAGATGGACAGTAGGGTATGGCTAAAAGAGGAATGTTACCTCAGAAAAAAGGATGAGAAGTAGGTAGGTACACAGACGGAGATGGAGCTGAGCAAAAAGCACATCACTAGTTATTTAAATGTAATTATATTGCTTGTCATTGTATCTTCTGCAGAGAAACTGTGAAACAAGAAGAACTGATTTGTTTGTTGTTCCTTCAAGCCCACCAGATTTATTTCAAATATGTTACAGCTCTCTCCTCCCTTCCACTTCTTCTTTACTCCCTCCTTTTCTGGTCTCTTCCTCGTCTCCCTTCTGCCTTCGTCATTCCTCTCCAGTGTCTTCTGGAGAGACTGAATTATTCAAGCGATATGAGAGAGAGAGAGAGAGAGAGAGAGAGAGAGAGAGATATCTTAATGCTGCAGCATTCGTCTTCAGAGATACAGTATTTTGGCAGTTTTTTATTGGTCGTTCACACAGTGACGTAAAATGCACATAAAAATTGAAAGAGATTCTCTACTTGTTTGGTTTTTATATGCGTGGCATGCCAGACATAGTATGGCGAAAACACTGTTGCATATTAAATATTAAAAATATAGCAAGACATCTTGTGGTAGCACATATATAAAGCCAAAAAAATAAATAATTTCAAACATTTTACATTTCAAATGAATTACACCAAACAGAAGAAGAACTTTTAATGCTACAAACCTAAATCTTTGTAACTGGTCAACTTAATGACCAGTTATACAATGTTTCATGCGTGAATAACCAACTCAGTCTTTGTGCATCGGGAAACTATTATTTTCTGTTTTATCATACTTAGACAATAGGAAAAAACTGTTTTAACTAAGCTCCCATATCATTTGAGTTGGCACATTGGCAGAGGTGGAAAAGTAACTACTGTAAGTATGTTTAATCACGTATTTTACAGTACAATTTTGAGGTACATGTACTTTATTTCCATTTATCTACTTTATTCTTCATACTTGTGACATTAATCTGCCAGCTTTACTTTGCAGTTACGGATTTTACTTACAAAACATATATTCGTCTTACGACGAACTACTGCTACTTACACATTAATGTACCATTAGCAACGTATAAAATTGTATAACACTCACATGGGCCGCTTTTCTGCCTAATCCGAGTCCTTTTACTTTTGATACGCTGGTACATTTTGCTGATAACACTGCATACTTCTACTTAAGTAACATTTTGAAGGCAGGTCTAACTTGTAATTGAGTATTTTTACATTGTGGTATTATAAAGGATCTAATACTTGTTCCACCACTGCACATTGGACACATTTGCACTTCCTCTTCCAGTGTGTCATGCTGTACACTTTCACCATTTATTTAAATACCAGCTCTCACCTGGGACCAAAGATCTAAGCTTCTAAGATATGGATAGACTACATAAACATGTACATTTGGAAAATATTTGGCACACACATCTTGGCTTGTTAGGTGGAGCAGTCCTGTCTGCATAACAATGCTTGGGACAGTGCTGCCCTCGAGTCTGGTGGTGGCTGTCAGTTTGTCAGCACAGAGCTCTGGATGTCTGCTCCCCGCGGGCAATAGTCCACCCTGACTGTCTCTCCCAGTCTGCATCGCAGGGTTCCTCTCGGTGTAGCTCTTCCTCTATTTCGCTCTGTGTCTATGTATCTTTGTCTCTTTGACAGTCTGCTTGGTCTGCAATTCTTCCGCCCATTTTTGTCACACAAACACACAGATGTCATCTGTGCTCTACATGTATCCTGGGTATCAACTCACACAGACACACACACAGAGAAAATAATGAGTTCATTTTAGAGGTCTCTCTTTTTGTAGAAGATTGTATGCTCAGTCATGTTATTGTTAAAGCCTAAAACAGTCACATATCACTGTGTATCAATTAGTATAATATGCAGAAGCTTTGTGTCCTGTGATGTACTACTAACTCTGGCTGTTATGATCTAGATGAAAGTGATAGAAAAGAAAACATGGCGGGATGGGGGCGTATTGAGATAGAAAGCCGGCATGGTTCCTGTCGGCCATATGGTAAATCCATCTGCCCTTCTTCCGCCAAGACAGAAAAAGTTCTGCAGGACATTAGCTGAGTGTGTCCTGAACAAGCTGCTCTTGTCACCTTGTGCAGCTGAACTGGTTTCAATGTGTCTTATCGTGTTATGTAAATAGGCTTGTGAACAAGTAGACTACAGTTGTGAGCAATACAGAGCGCCAAAATTACAGTTCATAAGCTAGGAATGTGATGTACCCGGGCGCTACATGGCTGATCAGTCAAGAGTGTGTAAGTGTCTGCGTGAGCGTGCAGACAGTTTGGAGTGAGGATGTGTGATGTTGACTTGAATATGCAGAAAACACCATATGTTTATGCCCTCTTGTTTTTTTGGACACCTTTCCAACCCCACCTGGACCTCAGGGCCTCTGCGGCTACATCCCGACAGTTCTTTGTATTTCAGTGAGGACTGAGACAAAGCATAGTGTTTTATTGATGGTGCAGGGACCATGTTGTCAGTGTTGCAGCACATTTCAACTGTGAAGGGCAAAAAAACAAAGACAAAGTGGTGACAGAGTGAATCGACAGAAAGTTAATCACCAGTTTTGATAATTGATTAATCGATTAAGTGATTAATCAAGCAACAAGAGTTACAGCATTTCCTATAGCCATACAACACACTTGTTCTAAGCAAGTGTGTTCACACTGGAAAAGTGACAAAATGAAGAATACTCAAACCTGACAGTGTGCATACTAAATACAGTTGATTTGTGCTGTTGATAGACACTATTCTTTTGGAGGAGGTGTTTCAGAGCTGGAAAAAAACCCCCAAAACTAAAGTTGCAAGTTGGGCGGGCCCTCGCATGTGTTGCATGTCGAGGAGTGAGGTGGCTGCGTTGCAGATTCTGGGGCTCTGCCAGTGTGGCTGTGAATTTCCAATGCGCTTTGGACGCTGAACAAACATGTTAATCATCACTTCCTGTGTCCCCTTTATGGCGCTACATAGCACTTCGCACTACAACTATAAATGAACATGTAGATGTGTTCGTGAAGGACTGTTGTCAAGCATGTAAGGTTTGGTGCAGATGTGAGCATGTAC